CCCCCCCCCCCTCCGAAAGAATGCCCTCCTCGAGCACTCCTAATGACGCATGCGTATGCAGGGGAGGCGATCGCTAAAGAATGCAAAGCAGGACGCAAAGAATCACACCTGTTGGAGGTAAGCGCCCTTCCCAGAGCCGCCTGCAGCCGGCACCCGGACGACGTTGTGCTTGATGTGGTCCTCGACCATGTCGAGGACATCATTTCTACCACACAAACAACGAGAGTGAAAACAACATAACTTGGTTTGTTTGTTGGGGGAGCGAAAGGGCTGCCTCTGCCGCATCTGCTGATCCGCCCGCCTAAAACAAAAGAGTGAACAAGTAGTGGTTCCTGTAGTACAAGGCCGCATGTTGCCGGGGGGTTTGGCCGGCCTTGCACCCGGCTCCCGGCACTACTCAGAGTATGATGTAACGTGAGTATTCCATCTGTGTCACACGACTTCACTAGGGCGACCGGCCTTTCATGTTTTTCGGCTTTACGCAGGGGCCACCGCTGTCACAACATTGTGAGTGAAACCACGACGTTGCAGCCGCAGCAGCAGTAGTCTAAAGGTGCAGTCAGAGAAGCTGAGAAGAGACGTGGGACGATCGCCTGTATTCTGCAGCACCATCTCAGCTTAGACAATGATATAAAACACCAACAAATCGGGCGAAACCATTCATACTTTTGAAGAGAATCGAAACCGATAGAACTACGACCTTACTCGAGCAAACACGTCAAAATGAGAGTACCAGATAGGTGCGTATGCGAGGTAATCGAACGAAGCGTGAGAAAACACGGCAGGAAATGTAACCGCGAATCCATCCTACAGCGGTACCTGTTCACGATGCCGTAGACGACTTGGTCGGTGAAGATGGTGTCGACGTTCTCATCCGCCAGCTCCTCACAGCGGGTCTGAAACTGCACCAGGTCCTCCATCGCCACCGCCTCCTTAACGTGGTTCACCTGAGAACCAGTGTACGCAATACCCATCCTCTCATGAGAAGCCAGACATCATCGGGTTCAGCCCCGACTTTGACGCCTACGTCGGAAAATATTTTTATTACACAAAGACGATCATCGCCTCACCACAGCATCGACACCAGCAACAACAACCCCGAGCATCATCTGCTACGTGGTGCTCAGTTTGGCACTCGCCATCGAGCCTCGACGGAAATGTTCCCCAGATGTTGAAAACCTGCAGCCCTCCTCTCAGCCGAACCCGCTTTGCTATCGTCATCGACTAATAGAGGGCTGCCCTGCTGCGTTTGGCGCATTGGTCCCCGAAACGCGCATGGTTGCGCCGCATTTGTTCGGGCCTTCCATCGACGTGTCTTGCCCATTTCCTTCTCTCGCCTCACACTCAAACCAGCCTTGCTGCTCGTGTGGCTAAGAAGTGACTACGATTTCGTGTACGTTCTGTGGGCATCCTCTCTACGTGCCTGCACTCTGCCCATGGCCTTGAAGGGGTGTGACTTGGTGTATTTTTGGACCACGTAGTCCTCCGACGTTACCAGGGGCCGGACAATATCCATCAGTCGAGCCTGTCATCACACGAGACAGGCGTAGAGGCAACGAGAAGAGAAAGAGTAAGGCACGTCAGACAGACAGATCAGACAGGGACAGCGAGAAGGTGCACACAAACGACGCGACATTGCCCCTCGTTGGTTTTCTGGGTTCTTGGGTCTGATGACGTTGCTATTGTTGCTCCCATCCCAATTTGTATATGGAAATGTGCACTCCACCAAACAACGCGAGGCCTGACTCTCGTATGGCCAATCAGAACGCAGTGCTTTGGTTCGTCTCAAGACCCATTGTTGAACAGAATAGCACCAAACACACCTGGTCCACGGTGTCGTAGCAGTGCTTGATGTCAACGGACGCAAAGTACAGAGGGGGCAACGCCTGCCCATCCGCGCCACCCCCACCCCCCACCCCCCTTCGCCCACAACAACGACCGTGCCCTCTGCAGCCATCACCATCTTTTTCTTCAGCGGGCGGACGCCGCTGCTGCTGCTGCGGCTGCTGCTGCCGCCGCCGCCCACGCCGCTGCTGCCCGGACAGCGGCGGCGGTGAGGAGGAGGAGGAGGAGGAGGAGGAGGAGGGGCAGAAGATAGGGCGGAGGTTTCGACACACGAAAGGCTTTACCCGGGCAAAGACGTCGTCCAGCCCGAACACCCCCGCCCCCACCAAGGAGGGATTTTTGACGTACTCGTGCTTCAGGACCTGTGGTCGTAGTCGTATTGATTGGGACAAGGCCAAGGCCACGTTGGCGGCGGGGGAAACCGGTGGGTGGTCGCGAGCCGAGCTAGGGAGGGGTGCGTTGCGATATCGGCGAGGACTTAACCTGTTGGCGGGTGGTGGGAAGTTTAAGGGGAACGGCCAGGTTTCCATTGGCGGTCTCCTCTGATTGCTCACGTGAATCGATTAAGGCTAGCTGCTACACCTGATAATAACAGGGAGCCCGGGCACAGCAGGGATGGATGTTGTCGGCGGAAGTGGCCGCCAAGTATAGCGTTGGCTACAGTTGGAGGGGGTGCGATCGACGAGCGATTGCGTGATGAATTAATAGGGGAAAGTAGGCGTTAGGAGAGGAGGGGAGGGGTGCTGGCGGCGCGGCTACAGTTTTTCATAGGGGGGGGACCTTCTTGGCGTACACATATGCCGGTGCTTTTTCAGACCTGATGTTCTCGCGCTGCCCTAGGCGGCCACGAACGAAGGCAACACCGAGCGGAGTATGATTGAAAAACAAAAACAGGCTTCCGCTATCGCCGTCTTAATCCGAGCGAACACGCAACAAGAGGACAGGCAAGCTGTGGCAGAGGGGGAAGCACGGTTTGTCTTCTCGTCGGGCCGCAACGCTGAATGCGTCCGAAAGGTTCACGTTGGGTGCAGCTGTACAAAGAGCAGCATTGCAAGGCAGCTTCCAACGGCGCAGACGCGGCTCCGCCCAAGCTCACATGGAAGGCGTTGGACAGCTGCATGTTGGTGGAGGGCAGAAGGGTACCGCTGCCGCTCCTGCCCCCCTCGCCGCCTCCTCGACCGCCCCCCCACCCTCCTCTGTCCCCGCGGGACGGCCTTCCCCCTCTCCTTGGCTCTATCCCAGCTGCCTCGCTTCCCAGGCGACCACGGCCCACCCTCGGAGTCTCCCTAGCACCAGCCCCTGCCCCGTCGGAGGATGCGGACGCGTTGCTCGTCGCGCGTTCCAGGTTGAAAACCCTTCGTGGCGCCTGCATGCCGGGTGGGGGTCGGTCGCGCGAGACAGTTGGGCACTAGGTTGGCCCTCTCCTTGTTGTGTATCTCAATGGATAATGGTTCTGGGCGTTTTGTTTGTGTTGTTAAAACTATTCACCAGGGCCGTTGTTGTTATTAATGACGCTAGTGGCGCGAAAGAACAAGCTAGTGATTCCGTTCCACCAAAACGAGCATCTAGGCAACTCCACAAGAAGCTAATACTGAATTCTTCGACAACAACGAGGTCACCGCCGTGTTTACACAAAGGGGCAACGACGGAATTCAACTGCGAGAGACGAACAACTCGTGTGATCGACTACAAAAACGGAGCAAGAGCGCGTCAACCTGATTGTCTCAACAGACTTTCAAAGGCAAGAACAAACAACGGCAGCACGAAAACGAAAACATCGAAAAAAAAATTGGAAGAGAACCACATGTGCAGGAAAGGGGAACATACATACACACAACAGAAGGGGATCAGAAAGCGCTACATCTCGCATCTACCGGTAGAGGAAGAGGGACACCCTTGACCCACTGCACGCGACTCCTATCCGCCCACGTCCTCTTGGACAGGTTCGCGATGGCTCGGACCCCGTTCGGCTTGGGCACGAGTCGTACCCCGGACACGGGGAACGCCCACCCGTGGTGATTGAGACGCCCCCGCCCGCCCTTGGCGCCGAACCCACTTTGCCTGCCGAAGCACAAGAGCGAGACACGCGAGGCTTCGCGGAATCAAAGGAGAGATAAAAAATGCGGCGACTTGTGAGACACAACTTTGTTTTCATAGGCTATATCGCGGGACTGGTCCGGGCTGCGCCAATGGGAACAAAGAAAATAGTGGGTTGGGGGGAAGTAGCTGATCGGCTAACTGGCCGCACGGGCACGATGTAACGGCACACGACGAGTAGAAATGCCATATAGCTTGAACACCGTGGGTGATATGCACACACCATTGTCTGGCTGAGCGGACACACAACAAGCGGACGTAAAGCTAGAGGGCGATTTAACACGACCATGACGACTGCTGCATGCCTTTCGTCATCGGCAGTAGAGCACGGGCATCACCCCCCACTCCTGTCGTGCCGAGCGCACCAAAAGCTACCATCGCGTCAAACATACCAAACCGGTCGATCAAGCACCGTAACTCCACTCCCTCACCCAGTAGCACCCCCGCCTTCGCTTCTCCTCCTCGTCGGAGACCCGCTCTGGGTGCAGGAGGTGCCGATGTGGAGAGGGCGAAACGGCTGCCGGTTCGCCGCCCCCTCCTCCCCTTGTCCGGCGAAACCGTCGCGCCTCTGGAGGGCTTCTTGCATACTGATTCGTCGGTACTGCCGCGATGTCAGTTGCCGAAGCGACGCCGTCCTGTGTGGGGAGTGTGCGTGGGGTAGGCGGAGCACCACGCCGGTGGGGAAGCAGGCCGGGGCGTGATCTCAGGAGGAATTGAGGGTCAGGAGGAACCCGGCACTCATTGCCATTGTAGCATTCAGTTTATCGTGTGCACGCATCAGTGGCCTGCGGCACAAAGTTCCAGCGAACGTATCCCTTGACAGAAAAGCCTCCTCGAATCTGAACCCCATGTAAGCGTGTCAGACACGTTTCTCGCGAAAATTACAGCTTTCAGTGTTCTCTCGTACCCTCGCCCGTGGCGGTGGTTAGCGGTAAACGGGACTCGGTCATTCGTTTCGCGAACATGCCCGGTGCTAAAGTTGCGCAATGTGGCTCTCTGTGGTGGACACCTCAAACATGAAGCACAATCAGGTCGGCTCCGGCCGTGGTAGGCGGCATGGCTCCAAAACAAGCCCCGTGCGAAAACAAAATGTCAGTGCTGCACTTGAACTTGGTGCACACCGGCATTGCGAGAGAACGGCGAGGTTTCCAAACACTGCCACCATCCGAACACAACCCTTCCGTCAGAACACAACCTTAACCTTTCCATCACAACCTTTCCATCAGAACACAAATCTTCCATCCAAACGCAAGACCCTGCGGACGCACACATACATACAGACCTGAACTTGGCCCACACCGGCTTCCGGAAGAAGAAGACTTCCTGGGATGCCGTCTCGCACTCCGTGACGTAGAACAGCGACCTCAACTGCTCCAAAAATAAGACACGCATCACAAGCAGCTTAGCCTCCCCCTCGCGGGGTCCCAGACCATGGGGCTTGGAACCATTCTCGCCGCATTGAGACTGACGTAATTGAATTGGTCAGCCCGAACCGCGGCCGATGCGACGAACGCAGATACACACAAATCCCGGAGGTGGCAAGCGCGCACGCACGCACCAAGCAAGAAAGCGAAAGGCAAACAAGCATCACCCGAGCGAACACACAAGCTTTGGTCCTGGCTGCACTGCCATCGTGAATGGATGGGGACTATCGAAACGTCCTTATATTTACTAGCAGGGTGATATCAGTGAAGCTTAGGCCTCGTGCCTTCTGGACCTAGTCGCTTGTTTTTTGTCATACCACTCTGTTTGGAACCTTTGTATCCGAAAGATCCAAACTGTATATTATAATACAGAGTGGTAGCAGTCAAGCTTGCGCCTCGCGCCTCCTGGCATCGACCATGTGGGGCACGATTTTCTTGCGCGGACGATGATTGTGTTCTCAATCGCTTCAGGTTGATGTCGACGAACGTGGAGCGGGGGTGTGCGACGACATGCGCAAAGAACCACGAAAGAAACCAGCTGCATAGGCTACTACAGCAATATGCCTTCTAGAGGCGGGCTGTGATCGCAGCGTCTTGCAGGACTGCGGAGCGTCTGGCTGCGATTGGTGGAGGGGGAGCGACAGAGGCCCCCCGGCCTCCACACCAAAAGCATGCAACTACACCGGGTATCGCCACCACTTGGTCTTCTCCCCACAAGCGCAGCCACGCCAACCCGCACGATATGTTTATCTTCGATAAAGCTCTCGACGGGGAGTTTCCTATACCGTTCACCTCGGCATTTCGCAATGCCCCCTCTTCTAGGCTGCAGAGATACCGAGCGTGGAACGACGGCCCAAAACCGATTGTTGTTGTATCACGCTACTAAGAGCGTCCAATGAAAAATAACGCCATGGTGAGGGAACAAACCCACCAGCGGTACGATGACGTTCTTGAACGTCCAGAGCACCAGGGCCTCCAAAAGCTCGACCCGCTTTGCCAAATCGCTCGGGGGGAGACGTTGGCGTGTCCGCCGCCGCCGGATCGATTTGTCTCCCTTAGACCCCACTTCCACGCTCCCCTTGCCCCCGCCCCTCGCCTTCTTCTTTTTCGACGTGTCTGCCCGGTTGGTGTCTTGGTTCGACGTACCAGGAAACGACCCTCCA